GAAATGTTTTGAGAATGATGAGGGAAGTGAATGTACAAATGTGCTTTACACAGTTGATATGTGTATGGATTGTGATGAGAGTTGTGTGAGCCCCTAATAAAATTATTTTTTTTAAAAAAGAACTTTCAGCTTTAAGTTTTAAATTTGAAATTGAAAACAAACTAATGATTAACACGAGGGAAATGGTAAAAAAAAAGAAAAAGCATAATATCCATCTGTCTGATGAAATAGGATCTAGGTTAAAGGTTGTTGTAGAAAATCGTTTAGGAATGTTGAAAGTCATCTAAGATATTGGTAAGAGAAAGAAACCAGAGGTGGCAACAGAGCATGCTTAATGAGTTAAGAAAGTATTTCTATTTTAAGGATTGAAAAAACAGCAAATGCATGTTCTATACACGTGACTGAGATTACTTAAAAGAAAAGCTCCAGACACACTTTTGTTTTCTAAGGCTTAGAAAGCTACATGGCAAGTATCAACATTGATTGGCCAAGAAGAGGCCAAGAAGGTTCAACTAATTTTTATTTTCTTCCCCTTACTTATCAGTGCTTTCTGGCTGTTCTGTAATAAGCATATCTTAGTTTTGTAATTAAAGCAGGACTTTCGATCATAAACCCCAAAATATGCGTCAAACTCTCTCTCAGAAAAGTAAAACAGAACAAATAAGAATGGCCTAAGGAGACCAGTAACGCCTGGCTATGTCAGACCGTCAGCAGAGAAAGGAACCGATACTGCAGCTCAGGCAAAGGAGGGTGATAAGAGAGAAAGCATTTGGTCAAGTCCAAGCGATGGCTATGCCTTATGAGAAAGTGCTGAAGGTGAGTGATGACAGGCAGATCTGCAGTGCGAGAGACGGAGGAGGAGGAAGACTGGGCTGGAGTCAGAGTCATTTAGAATGACGCACTCGCATTGCGAAGGCATGAGTCAAGAATGGGGTGGCAAAGGTAGAACAGGTCTGAGTTCCTTCTGTTGCAGAAGAGGAGAACACCTGTTTCTAAAGGTGTTGTCAACAAACATCTCAGTTGCTGTTTTGATTTTGTTTGTTATTTTTAGAAAGTGGCAGGTGTACAGGAATGATAAAGCTCCAAAACATTATGCTATTCATCAAGTGACACTGGAGTAAATTTCTGAGAGTTGCGATAAAAAAAAACACAACATAAGCATGACCTAAGGAAAATGGGTAACAAAGTGAACTCATGTTTCACTTTAGACATACACAGCATAAAATAGTTGCATTAGACAGGGATTATTACACACAAAGAAGAACTGAGAAATCTGTACATAAGTGACATCTCTCCTCTTCCATGCATTTAAGTAGTGACACCATTCTCGTGCTGCTACTACGTGTATTGCTTATCTTTCGAGCCCTTCCTGTAGAGAGAACGTTCCTGACATGTACCGCTCTCTAGGCTTAGCTCTATACTGTGTCGGCCTGCATGTTGCTCTGATGCTGGAAGCTAAGCCAACGTTATTTCAAATACCAGCAAGGTCACTCGTGGTAGAAAGGTGTCAGTGGAGCTTCCAGACAGAACAGGAACAAAGCCTGGGTGACTTATGTGACCTATCACCATATATGACCAATTGCCTTGTGGCGGGAGTGGGACAAGCCTTCATGATCTACCTACTGACACCAATTGTTCCTGCCACGGCACTCTACTTCTATGCTGGATTAGATAGCTCATTGAAATAGCCACCCAGGGACTCACAGGGAACACTCAAAATCAAGTGGATTTATTAGGGGGAGTTAACAGGTTGCCACAGTAAACAGTAAAACACAGTCACTGGTCTCCTCAACCAGCAGCCAAGTCTCTCAAGGGTCCTCAGCCTCGTGGTCCCTTGGCCTTTGCCTCCTTGGGTCAGGAAGGCAGAGTGCTGCTCTACTTTAGAGCCCCATAGTCCAGGGCTAGATGGGAAGGTACCCAGAAGTCCAGGCACTGCTCCTGAGTTGCAGTGCCAGGCTCTGGTGCACCCGGACTTAGCAGCCTCTCCCAATGGTCCTCTGATTTCTCTCTGTGTCCCGAAACTCACCGAGGAATGGCTCTACTGCATGTATGGTTTGCCTTATAGCGGAATACACCAGAGATGAACCAAGTGACACCCTCTAGTAAAGTAGTCTAAAGATGCCCCCTCGGACATGGTTCACCTTGTGTGTGACTTGGTTCACACCCCTAGTACGATCAGCTCCCATCCTGATCCTGTCCATGAGTATAGTACAGAATACCTTCCAAAGTGGGATTACAGCAACAGGAACAGAGTCCAGAGAGGAGCTCTGGTAGTGTAGCGGCTATGATTGGGGTGCAATCCACAAGGTCAGCAGTTTGAAACCACTAGCTGCTCTGCAGGAGAAAGACAGGGCTTTCTACTCCTGGAAACTGATGGGGGAAGTTCTACCCTGGCCTATAGAGTCACTATGAGTTGACATTGACTCAATGGCAGTGAGGGTTTGTTTTTTAATAGAGTCCAGACCTATAATACATCACATAAAGAATTATGGCTAGGACAAAATAAACACACATATACATACACAACAACAACAACCAAACTCATTGCCTTCAAGTCAATGTCGACTCATAACAGCCATTTCTGAGCCTATAACTCGTTATGGGAGTAGAAAGCTCTAGCTACATCTCACTTACTTACACAATTATCGATGACAACTCTATCAACCATATGAGAATACCGCTCGATAGACTGTTGGAAGATGAGCCTCTGAAGTTGGCAGGCATGCAAAGTACACACTGACCCTAGCAATGGGCTCGAGCCTACCAAGGAGCAGGAAGAGGGCACATGCACTCTGGGGTATGGCTTCATCCCATGGCTGTCTGGTCTCGAAGCCAGCGCTACAGCAACTGACAACCATGCATGCTATCCAGCTATGTTGCTCGGTTTGTCATCCTGTCCTATATTCTTTCAAATACATTGTCTTTATACTGTCTCCTAAACTGGGTCAGAAGTTCACTGAGTGCACAGCTGGGTTTGAGGTCTGTTTTCTTTGTCTTTCTATTCTGAGGCAGTGAAATATGAAACAATTCTGGAGCCAGATACCAGCCCTTCCTAAACAATGCGGTACAGGTAAGTGTACACTCAGTGAAATTAGACACTATGGAATTCGGGCATTATGCAAACATCATAGTATGCACACCTACTCCTCATTAAACAACTATCTTGTTATTCAGCATTTCAAGTTTGATAGTGTTGGAAATTTCCTCAGGTCAGGCCCTTGGTGCCCTCTGAGAACCACCCAAAACAGTATATCGGTGCCTCTTCTGAGAGCCAACCACGTGAGGCATAATGGTCAATCAACCCACGAGGCTTTCTCCCATTCACCTGCAACATTTTGGGCTAGCCTCGGAGTGTACAGGACAACAGCAAGATGATACAAGGTCATACGGAGGCAAAGAAAGGCTAGGCAAGGGGCTCAAAGTGCTAGGGAGGTTGGGAAGGTGGGAAGGGGCATGGCTGGGGCAGATGGAAGGCAAGTGGAGTCCCCACACCAGACAAGAGGTGGGAGGCTGCAGGCAGAGCATGAGCAGGGTCCCTTCCCAAGGCAAGTGGCAATGGGCTGCAGGCAGCACATAAAGCTATTAACACTCCAGAGACGCAACACATGAGACACGGTGCTGCTGATTTCCAGCTGAAACACACCTTGTAACAGGGTAAGCTTTTTCCTTTCGAAGCAAGGAAAGTTCACATCAAAAGAACAATAGAAAGTGCAGTACAGTTCATACACATGCCAGAGACAAAGGTGGTCCCAAGGCTTACAAAGACATTGGTTCTAGAAATACTGTATTGCTGGCAGCAGAACTCTACAAGCAATAGGAGACATACAAGCCGCACGTGAAAATCACTGCCTTCTCTACGACAGGGTACCTCTACTGTGTTCCCTTCTCCTATAGGGAATTCTGAACCCTGTTACAATGTTACGAGACCACAGGTGTACATGTGATCAGATGTTGCCTGGAGGGACACTACAGGGTGCACAACCATGCACCAACCTTAGTGAATGGCAAGACAAAGTGCACAGAACACTGAGTGGCATCCATTTACATCTATCAGAATAGAGAGGCTCCAGGAGACAATAACTTAGTGTACTGCAAGTTATAAGCTAACTACTGATTTGTAACAGTTTTGTTTGATACACACACATTCTCACACATGAAAACACCGATTGGGCCAGGAGGTAAAATGCATTTCACGTGGTGTTAAATTACGGATATAGACTGAGGAGCCCTGGTGGCATAACGGATTAGGTGTTGGGCTGCTAACCACAAGGTTGGAAGTTCAAAACCAACAGCCACTCCTAAGAAAATGCTGAGGTTTTTTACTCCCATGAATTATAGTCTCAGACACCCACAGGAGCAATTCTATTCCATCTATGGGGTCACTATCAGTCAGAATCAGCTCCATGGCAGTGAGTGACCAATGTCAAGTCCACTATATGCTAAGTTACATTAGACATGCCAATCATGTCATCTAAGATTCCCATGAACCTAAAAGAGGCGCAATTCTGCTCAGAGCTTCAGCGAAAGCAGTAGTCTGAGGTAGCCCGTCCCATGTTATGCCCTAATACAACATGGAAGTGAATGCTGACTAGCACCATGGTTAAGCAGTTGGCTATAAAAGAGAGCTCAGTGGTTCAAACCCAACAGCCAGTCTACAAGAGAAAGATATGGTAGTCTGTTTACAAGAAGATTTACAATTTTGAACCCCTACTGGGCAGTTCTACATTGAGGTGGAAGCAACTCCATGGGAAAGGGTTAATGATTTATGGAAGCTGAACGGGTAATATAAGATGGAACAAGTCCATGCTTGCTAACCCCAGAAACTTTGTATATGTAGCTTTGGGGAGAAAAGAGGCACTATAAAACAAGAGAAATAAGTCAATGAGACACATTGGCACATTATTGTCATGGTACCACAAGGAAACACAGTTCCCGTGCTACCAGTGCTGCAGGCACACATCTCCCGTACTTGGGGAAATTGAAAGGCTCAGTTCCAGGTAACCTGTAAACACTAATTAAAAAAGAGGAGGGGAACCACCATACTTAACAACAATCTCAGGTGCTTCAACCACAAAATGAAAAATTAGTCCTTCCCGTTCATGGTGTTGTCCTAAGGACTGCATAAACTGTAGGTGAAGTAATCTGAACACACAACGGGTCCTTACAAATACCTTGTCAATATTTAACTGCGTGTCAACAGATGGATAGTGTGAGATCCAGAGCCATTTGCTATCTTGTGTCTCCACCACCGCATACCTGCTCATCCTGCAACCTTGAACCCATGTAGACATACAGGGACTCCCTGTTGACTCCCAGGGACTCAGCTGAGCAGACAGCGACCTACTGCTTTGCACTCCCCACTGGCATCAGCAGGGCTTCCATGCACACAAAGTGGAAACTGCACCATCTTTCTGTTCTGCAGTTAGAGAAGTAGCACAGTTTATCTCCTACACCAGATGGGAAGGTAATAGGCAATTTTCTTTCACTGGCAACAGAATTTCCTTCTGTAGATGCTGTCCACCGATTTCTTAGTATAACTCCTCACATGATGAGAAGACTGAGAATGCATGCCGGAAATGACCTCAAAACGTCAAAGAGTAAGCATTTAGAAAATCAAGAGGTTGTACATACTGTTTAGATCAACAAAATTCAGCAACACATTTTAAAGATAAATTTTGTATTTAAAAAACTCAAAAGGTAGTTTCTACAGCAATGCCATTCACTAACCATTAACTGAGTGGATGTGGTCCAAAGGATCTATACTTACTACACTGAAGGGAGAAACCACACAACAGGCTACCTTAAGCTCAGGAGGGCAAATGGATGGATTTGATGGATGAAATCTCAGTATCAAGTTCTTTATTATAAAGTATGTCTCCACAGTTATTCGGAACTCCTGACGTAACTGAGCTTTCCCTCCTTTTACTTCACCACACAGGGTTCTTCCAAGATGCATGACCTCCAGCATCACCATAGAAAGGCCTGGTTGAGAAGGAGGCGGTCATTTCATTTAATTTCATAGTATACAAATACCTCCCATGGGCTGACACTGCTACTGAAGAAACCAAGCTCCTGGATGCACCTCAGGTATTTACTGAATCCAGGATACATTCAAAGAACTACTTTATTTGTCTTTTAAAATAAAAACAATTTTGAAGACTCCAAATTGCCACAATTGGAAACTTCCTGAGTAATTTTCTGCTGTTATTGCTGGGGAGAACTTCGGTTCCAACATCATTTCTTCATCCACTCATAAACTCATCAAATATTTACTGCATACCTCATGTAGGGCAGGCCCTGTTGGTCACGTGTTAAGGATATATATATATATATATATATATATCAGAGAGAAAAATGGACAAAAGCCCCCGGCTTCACAGAGCGTGTATTATAGAAAAAGCAGATAAACAACTGACTGCCCACAATAAATCACATAGTATGTTGGAGGGTAATTGTCATGAGGAAGAGAAGAAATGTCAAGGGTCTGTGTGGAGAATGGAAGGGAGACAGGTATTTGGCTCTCCAGTAGAACAGCTACTACGGGATGAGGAGCTAGGTCCTCCGGCAGAAGCTCAAACTGTGTCTGAAAAACAAGGGTGAAATGAAACACTATGAGCCATGCTGAGAAAAGCACAAAACGAATTCAGAATGGTAGCCAGGAACCGGCTCACCCATTCTTGCTGGCTTTACCTTTATTATGAGTGGAGGTATGAAGCCACTTAAAGAGTTTAAAACACAAAGACAATATCAATGTTATATTCTGACAGGATCTCCCTAGCTTCTATGTGGAAAGGAGACTAAAGAGGACGCAGGTAAATGCAGGGGTTGGGATGGGATGCTCTGAGGATAGTCTCCCCACTTAGTAGTCTGTCCAGTCCATCATGAGCAAATTGCTGGTATTTGTTGTACTGGTAGCTTTGAGGATCACAACCAACAGGCAAGTCCCTGTGGTATGACAAACCAACAGGTGAGACAGGATTGGGCAGATGTTCCACACTAAGGGGGAATAGGAAGAAGGATATAATGATCTCCTTCTAAATAACTGGCCAGTAATAACCTTTTGAATAGCAGAGCATTGTCCGATATAGTGCCGGAAAATGAGATTGGAAAGCACGCAACATATGATTGGGAAAGAGATGCTCCCCCAAGTAGAGTCGACCTTAATGGCACAGGGGACGCAAAGACAACGGGACCTTGCTTGGCTGATGTGGCCCAACATGACAAAAGCCAGCTGCAAACACCCTGTAAGAACCGCAATATGGAGCGTTCAAAGTATTGATGCAGGAATATTAAAAGTTGTCAAAGATGAAATGGAACTCATAAAGATCGATATCTAGCTTTCATGGGTGAAAATGGACTGGTTGGCCATTTTGAAGTGGACAATCACCTGGCTTACTGTGCTGGAAATGAACATTTCAAGCAAAATATTGTTGCATTCATCAGCAAAAAATATATAAATAATAATTCAAGATGTATCCTGAACTACCAACGGTAAGATAAAATCCATACACCTGTAAGGAAGACCAATTAATGCAACTATTATTTAAATTTATGCACCAACCCTGATATCAAAGATGGAAAATTAAAGATTTTTATGAACTTCTACAGTCTGAAATGTATCAAACTTGCAATCAAGGTGCATTTAAAATTACTGATGATTGGAATTCTAATGTTGGGAGCAAAAATGAAGGATCAGTAGTTGGAAATATAGCCTTGGTGATAAAAATGACACAGGAGATCACATGATAGAATTTTGCAAT